CTTGATCGGTCTGATAGTTAAGATTGTATTTCACATTTGAATTTAAATCATTATTTTATAAATCTAAATCACGTGAAATTTGGAGCGTCTACTCTTCTCATCAAGCTGCACCGAATAAAAGTATTAAACAAATTATTCACAAAAACTAAATCGACTAAAACACCCCAATAACTTTTAGGGATATTTTGATTACTTTATAATTTATAAATTATTTTTTAAATAGTTTTATTAGGTGTGTCTTGATGAGAAGAGTAGACACTCAAAATTTTAAGTGAATTAGAACAAAAAATTTAAATTTAGATACAAAATACAATTGTAACCATTGGATCGACGTACCTTCAACCTAGACCGTTGGACATTTATTGTAGCTGTCAGCTAGCCGGCTAACCTCTCTCTCTCTCATATGGTGATTTTAAAGTGGACTCCACTTTACAAATAAATCCTAGCTGATAACTGCAATAAATCTCCAGTTATATTTAGTTAGACTAAATAGTACAAGACGTCCTCTTTCTATAGCTAAAATTACTCATCAAAGTACAAAATAGAAATCATTGAGAAAAAAGAAAAAGAAAAAAAAATATTTTGTTTTTTTTATTTTTAATAGCAAAAGGTTGGGTTTCTCTAATTGTAGCTTTACATTCCCAAAAGAAATAAAGAAAATAAGAAGAGAAAAAAAAAAAGGAGTGTCATTAACTTAGCAAAAGAACAAGAGTGTTGATTCTTCCTTTCTATCTGCCTATTCTATTTCTTGTCTCTCTCATTCCATGCTCCTCTTTCTGGTGAGGCTTCTTAACCAACTCCTCCTTCCCTTTCCCACTTCCCCTTTGCTGATGTGGCATGCGGCCGTCTTGCTGGACCGCTTCCATCTGGTGAGCTGGAACAGATGGGCAATCCGCTTCCGCCACCTCAGATTCCCGCGTGTCTTTCCGTGCTCCACAACACTCTTGGGCCCCACACTCTCCTTTTGATGGCTCAAGGAAGAAGCCTTCACACCCTCCCAAGAGTCCACTTTGTGATCCCATGTAGCAAGGCCATTGCCCTCAAACTTGATGGATATGTAAGAATCTATTTACATTAAAAAAAATAAAGGATTTGCTTTCTTAAGTTTTTGATGAAAGAGAAATGTAAATATTTGGATGCAACAAATCGATGCATGGATAAGGGCTACATAAAGTTGGGATAAGGGATACATAAAGTTAGGTTTTAGGTGGGGGTCAGTAAACTAACTATTGGACTTAACTTAGATGATGAGGAATAAACAGTTCTAAAATAGATGCACCCTTTCTCATTTTTCTGACCAAAATGACCCTTCTTATTCTGCTTAATTTTGCTTAAGAGGAACCAAATGCTCTATTAGCAAGATAATATTTTCTTCTGTTCTCATTTACATGGAAAATTTCCTCACAGAAGAAAAATATTATCCTGCTCTATTACCAAATGCTCTATTAGCAACCTTGGGTTCATCCCTGACTGAACTTGTCATGGAGATTCTCCCTTGAGGCACAGATACACATTTTCTTTCGCAGAGATCAAAGAGGTTCCTTCAGTTTTGGAGTAATGTGAATCCTGAATGAGAAAACTGTGAAAATTTTCAATTGTTGCCAAAAACAAACTGTGAAAATCTCAATTACCATTGATTATTTTAATTTTTCCCTTTCTCATGTTATGCTATTGAGGAAGGGGTATAGAGCGTACCGTCATGGCTTGTGCATGCATCCTCATCAGAATCATCATTTTTTTGTTGCAGGAACTCGGGGCGGTGGAGGAACGAGGCCAAGGCGAAGACTTTATGGAGGGTATGAGCCTTCCTTTGTAGGATTCTTTGTGGCCTGAAAGCACCCTTAGGAAGGGTAGAATGCCTTTGTTGGGATGCCAAAACTAGGAGCCTTTCTTTCAAACAATGGGGGCACACCCCTACTATCACCTGCCTTGGGTGAGCAGAGCATTGCTCTCTCTCATCCCCCCAGTCTTCCATTCTACCAAATAATTGCAAATATGAATGGGGTTCTTATAAGATTTGTCAATCTACATTTTCCATTTCCTTTTTGGTTTTCTAATTGTAGATATACATGTAAAATCACTTTTTGGTTGGTTTTGAGTTTGAAAGGGAGTAGAATATAAATAATGACTTTCAAAGAAAAGATGGATGGCAAGGTGGATAAATAAGGCCCCTGTAGTTTCTCAAGGATATGATAAAGGAAGCCGTGTGTATAGAGCCCAGGCTCTAAACAATCAAATTAGGGCCTACCTTCAAATAGTATCGAGAAATGTGGTTTCAACACTGGAAATCTTTGTGATAGCTTTAAAATATAATTTTCTATTTATTTATAAATTTTAAAAATTCAAAAATAGTTTAGATCGAGAGATCTATGAAAACTTGAAAATTTTGAATTTTGATGGTCCAAAAATGTATTAAAAATACACTATTTCCAAAACTTGAAATCCACTTTTTGCTCATGTCCATGCATCCTGAGGTCGAGATGATCAATTTGAGGATATTTGGGCATCAAAACAATCTCTTCTAGTAAAATTTTTGAGGTAGGCTCTAATTTGATTGTTTAGAACCTCGGTTCTATATAAACTTTTCCCCTATGGTAAATGGTGTTGCTTCGTGCACAAGAATGGTCCAAATGTCGTCGGTTTTCTCTCTTCGTGTTTTTCTTTTTTTTCTTTGAGCGTTAACAGTAATTTTATTGAGAAAATGAGAAATTACAAAGAGAGTAACAAAAAAGGAAATAAAGAAAGAGAAGTATAGAAGAAGAAGAAGAAGAAGAAAGAAAAAAACAGAGAGAGGGAAGAGAGAAGAGGAGAGAGAATGGAGAGAAAAGGCTACGAGGACCCTCTCTCTCTCCTATTAGAAGCCATTTTGGTGTCTACTCATATATAATCTCTATCATATGTCTTTTAATGAAGATGTGTTTCTCTAATACAAGGTTAGTTTGGTTGTTTAAAGAATTTGGGGTTTTGTAATAGGTGAGGTTTGTATCAGGTATCAACCTTCTACTATTGAGGTAAGGTGCACCTCAAAACTATGCTGAAAATGGAGTTTTAGTACCACAAAGCCTTGCGACGATATGAAAATCTATTGTTGCTCCAGTTATGAAATTTAAAGTTCTAGAATGAAAGGATCAAGAAGATATATAAACACTTGAAAATGCACGGTCCAGATAACTTGTTAGAAGATGAATTATTTTTAGGACTAAAAATCCCCTTTTCTAATGTCTATGAATCTCAAGGTCGAGGTGATCGATTTAAATATTTACTAGTACACAAATAGCTTTCTCTAGTGAGTTTTTTAGTTCCACCTTACTTGTACATTATACAGTTGACACCTTATATAAACTTTTTCTTTTTGTGGTAGACTTGTGTTTGTTTTGTTGGTTTGAAGAATTTGGAAAATCTTCTCCTTTAAAGGGTTGGTGGGGACCTTAGAGGAGGGGAAAATGTGGGGGGAGAAAAGGGAAGAGGTCTACACATTTAAGAAAAGTGATGGAAACAAACAAACCATTCTCACATGGGGTGAGGGCCATCTATCATCTTGGTTGGCCCTTAGGTCAAGTTCACATCATGGATGGAAGTGGGACATTGCTCTCTCTCTCTCTCTCGCCTGGCCCTTCTTTTCCTCTCTCTAGGGGTGGCTCCTCTCTAGCTTATTAATCAGTGCATGTGGGGTTTACGTACCCAATTTGGTGAGCTATTAGATCAACAATGAGAAACACAGCTGATCAGAGCTGTTATCATCAAACCAGGTTTGAGAGAGAGATAGAGAGAGAAAGAGGCTTTTGAAGTCGTCTCTTACGGTTTTGTGGCTATCTTCTTTAGAGAGAGAGGGGGGGAGAGTGTGTATCCTACACATATTTTCATATGTTAATCGATTTCCACAAAGGAAAATTGTTTGATGGGGCTCCAGCCCTATCAAAATAAATAAAGTCTCACCTCATAATTCATTGAAAATTTCAATTGAAGCATTGGAAAACCATCACATTGATCTTCTTGGCTTGAACGTTTTGGATGTGAAAAAAAATTAGAATTTCAAGTTCTAAAATAGTGTATATTGCAACAAATTATCTTGACCGCCCATTTCATCTTAGATCCGCAAGATCTTTATCATTTTTTAAATTTCAAATTTTATTGTCAATGATGGAAATTGATATTAAAGACATCATGGAGATTTTCAACATGGAGATTTTCATTGTTGAAAGTGCTTTCAAGGCGAGGATTTAAGGTGAGGTTTTATTTTGTTTTAAAGAAGGCTACAAAAGAGTGTTCTAGTGATTTATAGAGCCAAAAGATATTCTACTCCATAGGGAGTAGATTATCTATTTACCCCATCAGGCAAAACCCCACTTAGAATTAATTTTAGGATTCCAAGCTTTGGGGATGTGACCTCTTCAACCTATAGATTAACCGCAATGAATTTTTTTTCCCATTTGTACCCTCCATGCACTTGAAAAAAATAATGTTTCGAGATTGAATAGAGACTATACAATATTTAGATAGTGAGATCCAAGTGTTAGAATAATCAAATTTTAAGTTTTTTTAGAATAATCATCTAGTAATTATTAAGTTGTTTTTAAAATCTCAAATTGAAAAAATCCTCCCAACTAAATCTTCTGACCAAGAGAGTAGAAATAAACTATGCTCCCGCAAAAACATAGTATATGTGCTCAATTAGAATGTCATGTCAAAGAATACAGTAAGTAATGGTACAAGTTGGTCACATGCCCTACTGAAATCCAAAAAAGGGTTCTTCATAACCTTTGGCACCTAAACTTCTAAACTTAGCAAGGGACTAGCTCTAAACGTTTTTTCCTTTTTTGGGGAAAATTTAGGATAAGTCTCATTTGTTGAGTATTTAAAATAGTGCTCTAACTTTTCTATTTTATGCTCATATCTCATGTTTATGACTTTTTATTCCCAAATGACAATTGGTTTGGACATCCAATATCCAAAGTAAGGTCACTCTTTTTCACTGAATGACCAGTTTGGGTCATTCTTTGTTTGAACAAGGTTTTTGTAATTGGGTGGTTCTTTCCCTCAAGAAAAGAAGGAAAATTATACAAGGAGATCATTTACCTTTAGTATAAAGGAGCTATAATCAATCTTGTCCATCAGATTTTAAATTAAGTGATTGTAAGTGTGTCAATAACTAAATTCAAAATTAAAAAAAAAATCTCGAAACCTTGTAATACACCCCAAAGAAATAAAGTATTTCTTTATAAATTTCTTTTTTTCCTTTTTTGTAAGTTGACAAAACAAGTTAATTGATAATTACCTCACGTAATCCCATTCCATGAATTTATCTGGCTAACCTTTTACCCTCAATTTCTAAAACATTTAAGTATTGCTCTTTCTTTATCAAAATTTCAAGAAAGTGAACCCCATGAAAATATATGTTAGTATTTCAACAAACCCAAGAACATGGCATGCGAATGGGTCATATATCTTCTTTTCTCTTTTTGACATTGGCTTGGTTGGTTAGGTCTACATGACAGCAACCCCACTATCAAAGGTTGGATACCCGCGCCAACCCACCAAGAACCAAAGTAAAAGTGTTCTCTTTTGAAATTGTCTATAGGGTGCGATTTGTATAGAGCCGAGGCTCTAAACAATCAAAGTAAAGCGCACATTCAAGTAGTGTTGAGAAATGTGGTTTCTGTTCGTCTCAATAAAAATTATAATAAATAAAAAAATTGAAAAAAAAAAAATTTACTCGGATCTGTTCTTAAATCACACAAAGGACTTAAGGTTTCATACCAAATCCTATAGACCAAGCCATACGGTGACAAACAACCTTGATAGTCATCTTTGGTGAATCTCATTCACCTTCCATCTCTATTTTTCTATACTTTTCTCTATTTTTTCTAGAGGGGTTAACCTCCTTTTATAGAGAATACATTTATTTTGTAACTCTCACATTCATGGTCTATAGGAGTTGAGATCCAAGTGTAACTTCTGCCTTAATTCTCTTAAGTGCAGCTAATTAGGATTAACAAGTTGTCACCAAACTATTAATCCTATGTAATGAGCTAACCTGTCATTATTTCATTAATGACTCATATAATAGGATGTCATCTAAGCATTCCCACAATTTGATACAAGATGTTTATAAACTAAATAAACTTTGTATATCTATAATATAAAAACAAATTCTTACAAGCAATCCAATTACAAACATACCACTAGGTTTTCCCTCTAGTGACACTGGGTTTTCTCTCCAATGCAACATCCTATTAAAGCTAAAAAATGGATCCAAGTATATGGCATTACCTCACGTTAACCACATGGGATTTCACATATACTTCAATATGGCTTTTGTACCATTATAAAAAAAAAAAAATTCGGGAGAAAATGGCCCGATAGGCCACATTTTCAATAACTCCCACTTGGCCTGAAGGCCCTTTAACATTTTGTACATGGCAATGCATCATGCTTTCGACATGGGATTTTCAGATATACCCTGCTAATGTGGTCATACATCACACTTAGATTCATGGTCTCAACAACCTTGGATATGGTTACATGTACCCTTCCAATGAGGTCACACATCATACTTAGATTTCCTGATTCCAACAACCTTGTATGTGGCATTGTCTCACGCTACTTGCATGAGATTTCACTTATACGATGCCAAAGTGATCATACACCTTACTTGAATTTTCTGGCCTCAACAACCTTGTATATAGCATTGCCTAATGCTACTTGCATGGGATTTTATATATACCCTGCCAAAGTGTCATACAACACACTTGGATATCCTGGCCTTAACAACCTTGTATATGGTATTGCATCATGCTACTTGCATGTGATTTCACATATACCCTGCTAATTTAGTCATACACCATATTTGGATTTTTTAACCTCAATGGTATTATATATGGCATTGTCTTATGCTACCTGCATGAGATTTCTCATATACCTTACCAATTATTCACCAACATATTAGATTTTATTTACATCTATCTTTTAGCCAAGAGAAAAAAAAGACCCACCTTCTGCATGTTTCTGAAACATATCATCCACCACTGGTCTTTAAGTCCAAAGCATAGATTCGGATCATAGGTCAAAATGATAAGAACAATAATAATCTGA